TTCCCTATCCTATTTTTGCCTGCTGGAAAAATGAGCTGAAAGCTGAGTAAGGGGAATTGTGGATAAAGTGTTTGCAATTTGGCTTTGGACTGACACAGTGTGATTGTACCCAAAGAATGTGAAGTCTTTGCACTGGCAGCAGCGCTCCAATCTGGGAATACAGGATTCACATTGGAAAAGAGTGGAGTTTTAGAATGATTGAAATGAACAATTTCAGCTAGAGAGTGGATTAACAGAGCCAACTAAACCCTTCACCCTGACAAAGAACTGGCGGGAGGACTATAGAAACTCATCCAAAATTTTACCAACATGAATGCAGAGTAATAGGTCAGCGAGAAGCATTTCTGAGTTTTAATGGAGCTCTCAGAATTCAATTCAATTTAAAACAAAAGTTGTTTGACAAATATGTGGAGAATGCAGAAGGCTGGAGAGGGAGCAAGTGGCCTGCATCCTCCATCTGCTCCATCCTCTCTCAACTCTCAGGCAAGGAACCACCACAGCAAGTCCCACTTCTCAATGGACAGAAAGGCAAAGGTTCCCCAACCCAGAAATGTCTCCCATCCTGTAGGGGCACAGATGCATCCCCAGGCCCCCCACCCCACAATTCATCCGTGCCAGAGCTCTCCAGGCCCAAAACCAAGGAACAGGAAATTCCAAGCCCAGGGGTCTAACTGGCTGACAGCAAAAGCAGATATTGAACAGGAAGAATCCCAAATGAAGAGAAAAAGGGAGCACTTTAATCATGGTTTGCACTCAGCTGGAGTGCCCCACCCTCACCTTGCTGGAGAAGACTCAGAGCAGTTTAAAAAAAGGTTCCAAACCCAAAAATTAGGACCAAGGATGACCAGTCTAACCTGCCTCTGAAGGAGGGAGGACCTTCCTGACAAGCCCTGAACACACACACACACCAAAAACTGAGCCATGTTTAGGTCTGTGGTGCTGCAGCTCATCCAGGCATGCAGAGACTGATGCTGCCTGTCTGGGCAGAGATTAAAAAAAATTTAACATCTTCTTACATAATTAACACAAGACCTATCCATTCAGAGCAACATACCTAAAAAGAGCATGAATAATAAGTAAGACATCTATAAAATCTGGATTTATTAGTGTTTTTCTTTATTACAATTCTTCTTAAATAACAGAAGGATTTGATAGTATTCAGTTTGTTATATATTAGACTCAAAAATATGTATTTAAAAAGAAATTTCTCAGTGTATAATAAAAGGAAAATGCCAACAGGACTTACAAAGCCACTGTAGCTGAAGTACCTGAGCTAAGGTTGTAAGGAATCATCCAGGAAATGTGTCATCACAGGTAGAAGAAAAACGACAAGAACTGGTTTGAATCACAAACCTTTAATTATTTTTTTTTTCTTTAAAATAGATGCTTCATACAAAAAGAAATAAATGACTACAAAGAGGCACGTGGTGTTTAGTTGACAGCATAGATTCTGTAACCCAAACAAGGAAACTAATCCACTTTGAGTAGCTGTATTTTTTTTTGTTCTGTTTACATGCTTTACTGAAGTATTTTCTTGCCAGAGCCTCTGGGAGCATCTTAGAATATTAATGAGAGCAGCCTGGCAGCTCTCCAGTGTCAACAAGTGAGAAAGGAACATCATTCCCATTTTAGCAACAGGGAAACTGAGGCACCAGAATTATTCAGGCTCATGTAGTTGCAGAAAGAAAACTCCTGGATCTTGATCCACTTAGACAGGTCTTGATGGAGAGCCCAGACCTCCACCTTGTTGGATTGCTGGTGACTGAGCTGAGCACTGGTTGAAACCTGGTCATTTTTAGCTCACATTTAAACTGCTGCAAAATCAGCGACATTTATCCAACTGTAGTGTCACTACTATCACCTTTACTGAAAGAAAACTGCATTCATGGTTTCCCTTCTTAGATCAAAAAATGGCAACAGCAAGAAGGGCATCTTCAACCCAGGACCTTCTGAAGTCTGTCTTGTTATACCCAAAATACTGCAGTTGTTCCCTTGAGTTGTGCAAAGGTAAATACAGGAACCCAGTAGCTTTGAGAGACAGAACTGCATTATTTATAAAAACATGTCAGTAAGAGCTACTGCACGAGGATGTAAAATGAAAATAAAGCTTTAAAGATAAAATGTCTACATGGTCAAGAGTAAATATGCTCACAGAAGCTGTAATTTAAATTTTGGGGCATTGGGAATATTGCTCTTCATCAAGTACTTGAAACAAGTTGGCTGAGGGGTTCTCAGCCAGGACATGGCTTTTATAAACCAACATTAAATGTTTCACACTGTCCATCATCACAGTAATTTTAGTTCCTGTGGCAGCCAAGAATCATAGAAATCATGGAATGGTTTGGGTTGGAAGGGACCTTCAAGACCATCCAGTTCCAACCCCCTGCATGGGCAGGGACACCTCCCACCAGACCAGGCTGCTCCAAGCCCCATCCAACCTGCCCTTCAACACTGCCAGGGATGGGGCTGGTTAGATGGGGCTCTCAGCAACCTGATCAACTTCCCTCCTGTGGTTTGACAGAGCTCACCTACACCCCAGGAGTCTTAGGATGATTCTTCAGTCCCACTGCATTTAGAAGCTTCCAAACACCAGGGAGATCCGACTTTGGGATGGGTGCTGTAATTGCAGAGAAGCCTCTAATGCAAACAGGCAAAGCTGCATCAGTTGGAACACAAAGAGACCCAGCCAGGGGGCTGCAGGGATACATCCCCTGGTTAAATGAGGTCAGTCATCACCCACACACACCTTGGAGAAGCAGCCTCTGTGGGAATGCAGAACCTACCAGAACCTCCTCTCTCTCATGTCCCAAGTATCTCCCCTGTGTTCTGCCAGATTCTGCATTTCCCCTGGAACACATGATGGAGAAGGACACACAGGCTAAATATATGAACAGTTGGAAAACCATGCAAATAAATATCCAGGTGCAAGATGCTCAGGGGCATCTACCACCCCCTCCCATCTTCCTGTCACACATTCTGGTTCACACAAGCAGGAAGCATCTGAATCCTGCTAGGGAGAAAGTGAAAGCCGAAGCTTCAGGAGAGGCATCAGGGCAGGCCCAGGCTGATGAGTACAGACTGCCAGGGATAAACATACAACCACACACTCTTAAATTATATATATATATATTAGTTTTATCTATTTTGAGATATATGTATAAATTAAGTAAACGTGTACATGGACACACAAGCATGAATCTCAATAGTCCCTCTGTTGAGAAACCCAATAAAAATCTCTGAAAATATACATCAATGACCTGGATATTCCTGAGCCTAAGCACTGGATTCTGATTGGGTTTTTCATAAATATGCATTAAAATTCTCCAAAGCAGTCACCCTTCTGGGAATAATGACATTGTTGCATGAGCTGTAAACAATAAATACAGGCTTTAAAAATGCTTTGGGGAACAGGTAGAGCCAGTGTAACTTCCAGGGCAAACAAAAATGATCAGAACAGAAACCAAAACCTCAGCACGTGGCTCCAAAACATCTGGATTGCCCCAAGACATCCAAGTGCACAGGACCTCCAGTCCTCCCAAAAAAGCTCTTGTAAAAGCTTTGTTGTTTTTTTTTTGGTGGGGGTTAAAATTGAAGCATTTCATCAGGCTTAACAAAGGCAGGGAAGAATATTTTTTATAACAGATACAGTACAAGAAAAAGGCCATTTTGCAAAATCCAAGAAAATCCCTCCAAGCTGGGGACAGTGTGTTATGTATCTCTTCCATAAGAAATAAGGGACTTTTCAAGTCCATCTGCATAACATTTTTCCCTATTCAGGGTTTCTAAATATTCTCTTAAAACAACTTTTTATATAAATACAGCACAAACCAATATACACCTTATCTTGTTGCAGTTTAAAACCAAGAATGACACAAATGCATCTTCAGCCAAAAGAAACTTTCCTACTAGAAACATAAGGATGGGTGATGTGTTTTGGGAAATCAGTTACTATTCCATATTTTCCAAAACCCCATTGCCTCAGCAGCTATGGAGGGTTTGGTACAGATGAAGCCTGAGGAAGGTCGCCATAAAGATGACACTGGTGGAGAAGCAGCACAGCCAGGCTTGCAAGAGCTGCCAAATTTAGGCAGAGAATTAAATTTAGACAGAGTAATAACCTGCACTTACATGTTCTAGTGCACCCTGTCTTACTGTAGTTTCTTTTTCCCATCCATGATTACTTAGATCTTACTCCTGTGTGGTTCCAGGTACCTTCAAGCTCCTCCTCAGGCTTCTCTCTCAGCTCAAACTATTAGTTTTCAATGAACCAGCCTGAGCAACAGTCTGATGACAAGACAATTGTAGAGCCTGTGAGTCAGCAGATGGCTGAAGGAAAAGAAACACCCCAAAAAAACCAGAATGCAGTACAAAGGAGTTCCAAGATTCTAGCAAGGACCTATACAATCTCAGGAGTTCCATAAGGAAAGCACTGGGCTTTTCTTTGTGCAAACTGTGTGTGACAGAAGCAGTGCAGGAACCACCATATGCCCTCTTCACCTGACATTATCCATCTACTGCTGGGCCCAGCATGGGCCATTATCTTTGTCTCTAGACTAATTCCCCAGAAAAGTTCTAATCCTGTTAAAACCTCCTGAACATCCATGTTGTATGTTACAGAAAAGAAAATGAAGCCAAAATTCCCTGTGTTCACCCACTGCTGGTACAGGAAAATAACCCACTCCTCATGCCTTGAGCACAAAAACCAAGCAATGAAAGAAAACATGGTCCAGACAATAAAGTGCAATTATTATTTCAGCTGTGTTAAAAATTTCTCCAATTCTGTAGTTTCACTTCTTGGTGATTTTATTCAACTCTTAATGACTTTGAATTAGGTTTTTTTGCTTCTGTCTCCATCGTTCCAGTACTGTTCAGTCTGCATTTCTGTGAGGCGTGAGAGAGTCCGCTGGAAGGCAAAGATTTCCTCTTCTCCTGTAAACATGGAGAGTCCTTTGGCTGAATCCTACATTAATACACAAAAAACAGCAGCACAGAACTGTGAGACAGCTGCTCTGAAGCACATCACACCAACATCTAATGCTTTCCAGGCTTGGACAACACAAGACAGCAGCGTGGCAAGGGAAAAGAAAATCAACCTCTAGAAATGAAAGCAAAACACCTAGTTCAGTTGGATATACTGGAATGCTGTGTGCAGTTCTGGTGCCCTCAGCACAGGGAGGATATGGAGCTGTTGGAGAGGGTACAGAGAAGGGCCACCAAGATGATCCAAGGGCTGGAGCAGCTCTGCTCTGGAGCCAGGCTGGGAGAGTTGGGGTGTTCAGCCTGGAGAAGAGAAGGCTCCAGGGAGACCTTAGAGCAGCTTCCAGGGCCTGAAGGGGCTCCAGGAAAGCTGGGGAGGGGCTTGGGACAAGGGCAGGGAGGGAGAGGACAAGGGGGGATGGATGAAAACTGGAGGAGGGGAGATTGAGGTGAGACATGAGGAGGAAATTGTGGAGTGTGAGGGTGGTGAGAGCCTGGCCCAGGTTGCCCAGTGAAGCTGTGGCTGCCCCATCCCTGGCAGTGTTGAAGGGCAGGTTGGATGGGGCTTGGAGCAGCCTGGGCTGGTGGGAGGTGTCCCTGCCCATTCAGGGGGGTTGGGACTGGATGATCTTGAAGGTCCCTTCCAACCTTAATGATTCTGTGGTAATCCTCTGAAGGTCATTTGCAAAGCAGTCATTTGGGTTTAAAACAACAGGATGGTATGTTAACCATGATGACTATTGTGTAAGTAATTTAAAAATTCCTTAACAATAGGTAAGTCACAGGGGAAAGGAAAACCAGAACAAGCAACATGCAAACTAGTACTGATTGTGAGGCTCTGGGAGGCAGCTCTGTGTGCAGCCAGAGCAGACCATCCTTATCTCTGTATTTTACATGTAGGAGCTACACTTAAATCAGGATTTTCATACAGGATTGAACAGATCACAGAATCCTAGGGGTTGGAAGGGACCTGGAAAGCTCCCCCAGCCCAGCCCCCCTGCCAGAGCAGGGGCACCCAGAGCACATCACACAGGAACGTGTCCAGGGGGGTTGGAATGTCTCCAGGGAAGGAGACTCCACAGCCTCTCTGGGCAGCCTGGCCCAGGGCTCTGTCACTCTCACAGCAAAGAAGTTCTTCCTGAGATTCACATGGAACCTCCTGTGCTCCAGTTTGCACCCAGTGCCCCTTGTCCTGTCACTGGACATCACTGCACAAAGCCTGGCTCTGTCCTCCTGACACTGCCCTGAACAGATTTGTGCCCATGGATGAGGTGGCCCTCAGTCTCCTCCAAGCCCAACAGACCCAGCTCCCTCAGCCTTTCCTCATCAGGGAGATGTTTCACTCCTCAATCATCTTTGTGGTTCCGATATAATGATTAACAATCACAAAGACCCTAAAACTTATGCAAATGCTTTTACATATTGTAGCATTTTCTTTGCCTATGAACTAGTAACAGGCAGGCAGGAGCTCGGCAGCCATGCTGCAGGAAAAGCAGCACATCACTAGTTAATGTTGACTCCTCTTCCTAAAAATGCTGCTGTAATTATGAGACCAAAAACCCATTCTGTTACAAAAGGGAGAGGATGTTGGTATCATGTACCTGGCTCAAGTCCAAATCATCCATCAGCACTCTGTTGTCCTGCAGCTCCTTGCTGTCCTGCTCCACCAGGAACAAGCCTTGCAGAGGACTTGCTGCAGAGCAAACGATGCGCACCTGAGAGGAGGGAAACAGGCAACACCCTCAGCACTTGTGCTCTGCAGAAAAGGGATCAAACACATGGTTTATGGAAAGCAAACTTCAAGTGAGGACCTTGGGGGTTTTTCCAGGTGTTTTCCCTTTCCCTTATTAGCACTGCTGTTACAGAGCTACCTTAATAATTTGGAATATTAATGTTTTCAGGCTCTTTTTCTCAGTAACAACTCATGTAACTTGTACTCAGGGAGCAGCATAACTGTGCTCCTAAACACTCAGATTATTTCTCTACAGGCAATATATTCACAGACAAGTTTACTTGATAAAATAACAGCTAGAAGGTGCTAGTTAACAATGCTTTCTTTCCCCCCATGGTTAGACTCTGAGTAGGGAGGTGAACTGCACATGTATCTCTGGAATTTAAAGAGAGTTTAAATTCCAAATACCCCAGAAGGCTGAGCTGAGCCTCTCTTGTTGCCACCTCTGCTACTCAGGTGCCTGTTATTTGCTAATAACAATAATGATGCTGAAGAATGTCTGCTGGGAGATGTGCAGTGAGACATAGAATCTCTGGGAGCCTGCAGTGAGGGCAGCCTGAACTATCAGCACAGGATACACTTGTTGAGAGCATGTAGACCAAATGTTTGCACAGTGGGCAGGTCTCCACCAACCTGGTCCCTCATGTTTTTCCAAACAACTCCCTGAGACAGGAGTGTGACACTTGTGGTTTTCCTATGGAGGAATAGAAGGCAGCTGTTTGCTTGCTGTCCTTAATGACAGCACATGGATAAAGCACAACACTCCCATCCCTCCTATTTCTAACAATTATCAGTTTATAGATATTAGCATATTCCCTTAGAAACTGCCCACTTCCATAGCACAAAGCTGACTTAAATGAGACTACTACTACACTTAGTTCTACACGGTGCTGCATCAGTTTCAGGTCATCTTGCCAGGACATTCCTGGAAAACACAAGCTCAAGTGACATTTCCTGACTGCATAAACACTGAAGAGTGTGCTGTACAATTACACACAAAAGTTTCATATCTTGTCTTATTTTAAAAGAATAATCTTAATCAGGAACTTCTCTTTGTTTTAGCATTGCTGGGTTTGCTTCCATGATTGAAACCTCCATAAATCCACATGAAGTGCTGCATTTATCACTGCTGTTCCCTTAGCCATTCTGCACCCTCATGTAAAGCTACAGTGACTTTTCCCTTTCAGCTTAACAAACTGTACTATTAACTCCTCAGCACTGTTCAGGGAGGCCCTGATTCCCCACAGATTAAAATTTACAGAATTTAAATTTACCCCAGCCCAGCTGGCAGAACAATCTTTCATCATTAAAATGACAACACAGCTTCTGTGGTTTCCCTGGGTTAGGAAAGAAATAACATCCCTACTCAGGAAAGGCAAATGAGCTCAGGCTTGGATTGATGGTCATGCTTAATACTTAGAGAAATATAAAAATTAAATACCTGCTTATTTCTTGTAGTGGGGCCTTTTGAATGAAGCTGGAATGATGTTTCTTGGCAGTGCTAGTTCATTCTGCTCATGCTTTCCAAATCATACTTACAGAAGGCCTTACTTTAAACCAGTTGCAACAGCCAGGCCTTAGAGCTCCTAATACTATTCCTACAGATGTAGAAGGGCTTGGTTCTCACCTTATGCTCATAAAAGGTGTCAATAAGGGTGATGAAACGACGAGCCTGTGTCCTCTTTGCCATTGTCAGAAGTGGTATCTCCCGAACAAAGACTGTGTCAAAATGCTTTGAGATTTCCAAATAGTCACTGGCCCCAAGAGGCTGAAACAAAACAAACCATCAGGAATAGAATCCTGTGACAGGGTGATACAGAAACACTGTAACACTACAGAAGAGGGGGTGTAAGGTCCTGATCATATTCTTATTTTTGTCTGTCTTATCTTGCTCCAGGAATACTTTTTGCTCTTCTTTACCTGAACAGAGTTCACTAGTTAAACATGTGGCTCTTCTGCATCCTGACAATGTTGTGATCTCTCTGATGACCTCAAACAAAATAATCACTACAAACCACAGAAGAAAAACCATGGATGGTTAAGCTATGAAGTCAACCTAAACCATAAATAATTTGAAGTGCTATTAGGATGCTTTCCAGCAGCAAGATTTTTAGATGCAAAAAATAAATCATACTAAATCATAAGTAGACCTGCATTCAATCCACCCAAGACTAACCCAGATTGAATAAAACCTTATGTTCCATGTACTGAAAGCAACAGCAAACAAAAATACAATTTCTATAGCAGTTTCTTTCTTCACAGTTTCACCTGTAATGATGAAATAAAAATCACTAATAAGAACTTTTTAGTTTCTCTTTGTGTATCTAAACCATCAACAGAAGATATGCACTAACAGCAGCAGCTCATTCAAGTCCACATGCAAACACATTCATTTAAAATGACTTTTTCATTACAGGGAAGTTAATATTGCTAATATCTTACAAACAGGAAATAAAAAGATACCTTCTCTAACTGAAATGCTTGACAAACTGACTGTAGGCCTTGTGAAACTGCTTCACTAGATCCCTCCTGCAAGAAGCTATTGGGAGCTGTTATTAACAGCTGTCCCTGACCAGGACTTTCTGTTTTAATGTGTTTGGACTTCCTAAAAACTGTGATCTCTTCACAGTAGCTGCATGGGAAGTGTCTTTACCACTTTGGCAAAAAGATAGAGCACAGAGAGGAACCTGCTTCTGCTGCTGGGGTAGGGCAGGGAACCTGTTTGCTCATTCCCTGAACCGTGTCAATTCTAGAGAGACTTGGAGATGTTTCACTGTCTTTGTTACAGCCTCTACTTCAATGGCTTGATCCACAAGATTTTAGATGCTTCATGATTTAGTATGTCCCTGTGTTCAGTTTTGGGCCTACAAGAAGGACGTTGAGGTGCTGGAGCGTGTCCCAAGAAAAGCAATGAAGTTGGTGAAGGGTCTGGAGAACAAGTCTTAAGAGGAGCAGCTGAGGGAGCTGGGCGTGTTTAGCCTGGGGAAAAGGAGGCTGAGGGGAGACCTCATTGTCCTCTGCAGCTGCCTGACAGGAGGCTGGAGCCAGGTTGGGGTTGGTCTCTTCTCTGAAGGAACAGGTGATAGAATGAGAGGGAATGGCCTCAAGTTGCACTAGGGGAGGTTTAGATTAGATGTGAGGAAGAACTTCTTCACTGAAAGGGTTGCCAGGCCCTGGCCCAGGCTGCCCAGGGCAGGGGTGGAGTCCCCATCCCTGGAGGGATTACAAGCCCTGTAGATGTGGTGCTGAGGGACATAGGTCAGTGGTGGCCTTGGCAGGGCTGGGTTAATGGTTAGACTTGATGATCTTAAACATCTTTTCTAACCAAAACGATTCTGTGATTCCACGATTTAGATGGAAGAATGAAAACTCTATACCAGTGGTCCTTAGGCCAGCAAAGGAGAGTGAAACCCTGATGGCATTCCAAAAGTCCTTCTGAAAATGAATGAAATAAGCTAGAGCTCCTCACCAGCTAAACCCCCAGGCAGGTCTTACAGTCTCTGGCTCCAAGCTAGTTCTTCCATTTGCAGCTGGATAAATCACTCTGCTTTCCCTTTCACAACCACTCGGCTTCCCTGGGGCATCTATGGAAAAGAATTACTACAAAAACTTTTAAGTGTCTAAGATCAGCATCTTGTACATCCATAAAGTTATGAATGTTTTTTATTTTCTCCCTCTGTTTCAGTTCCCCAGCCACTATTAGGGACTTCTTAAAGAGATACCAAGAAAATAATCATCCTTGCCCCATCCCTGGCAGTGTTGAAGGGCAGGTTGGATGGGGCTTGGAGCAGCCTGGGCTGGTGGGAGGTGTCCCTGCCCATGCAGGGAGTTGGGACTGGATGGTCTTGAAGGTCCCTTCCAACCCAAACCATTCAAGAATGATGATGATGAAGGTATTACTTCTTCTGAAGTTGCTAATGAAGCTACTGATATTGACACATAAATATCTAATCCTCCTATTAAAAGCCTACCCTGATGAATCTGGCCCTCTGAACAACATTCTAAAAACAACTTGATTTGGTGTTTCTGGCACAGATTTTGGTTTTCTTTCATCAATTACCAATCAAAACTCAACTTCAGACCCGTAACACATTTCTGAAACAATTGCCACCATTTGTCACCAGCTCTTTCCCATGCTGCAAGAGAGATGAATATATATATTTTTAAGAAACATTATAAGAATCTTTCCTGGCATTACTGTTCTTCCATGTGTACATTAGGTAAAGCTGTTGCAGATTTTTGTCAGGAGCTCTGATGCCAGGAGTCAGTATTTTAGAGGCATCAGCCAGATGCAGGACACATTAGCACTGTCCTGGGCTGCACTGCCCACAAAGTGTTTCCTCCACTTCAGCCTGTTGACTGAGTCCTCACCCTCAGATGTTTTTGTTTCTCTGTCTACTTAATGCATTTTCAGCTGTCATCATCTCAGTTCAAGTAGGGTGTTTATTATCTGGAGCACTCCATGGACTGTTTTAAGAGTTAGTCATCTCCTGCTTCCATTATATGATCCATTTAATTAAAAAATAAAGCATCCTCCTCCTTTGTTGACTCATCAGTGAGAAGGTAGCTCATGGTTGGGAGATTGTCTGAAGAACACAGAATGCTTTAGTGATGGGAGAAAAAGATATTTCATCTCAAGAGAAAATTTATATTTGTTGATGCTGGAAGATAATCCAGGGCCAGTTCCCATAACGTCCTGAGGCTGGGGAGGAACTTTTTACCAGGGTGTGAAGTGAGAGGACAAGGGGGATGGATGAAAACTGGAGGAGGGGAGATTGAGGTGAGACATGAGGAGGGAATTGTGGAGTGTGAGGGTGGTGAGAGCCTGGCCCAGGTTGCCCAGGGAAGCTGTGGCTGCCCCATCCCTGGCAGTGTTGAAGGGCAGGTTGGATGGGGCTTGGAGCAACCTGGGCTGGTGGGAGGTGTCCCTGCCCATGCAGGGGGTTGGGACTGGATGGTCTTGGAGGTCCCTTCCAACCCAACCCATTCCATGGTTCTATGACTTACATTTGCATCACTGTTGGTATAGAATATTGAGGCTTTAAAATCAAGTTCATAGGTACATTTTATTTTTTAAAGCATTTTCAGCTGAACTTTGGATACACTTACAACTGCTGAGAAGAGGGATAAGGAGAAACAAGCTTTTAATACCACGTTGTTGAGCTCAAGGCATCAGATCTGGCCACCCAAAAAGCCTTGTACAATTTGTCAAGGACAAATATAAACTGCATTTTGCTTGTCAAGAACCAGCCCCTTACAAAGCACAATAATGGCAATTTTTCATTCACACACTAACTGAGGGAAAATATTAATGATGTTTTGCAACAGTCTGACCTCTGGCAAACACACCCCTTGTCTTTATGGAGAAACTGAGGGGAACTACAAAGGCCACAAAGAATAGGGCAAGCTAAGGTTAGTATTCACATGTTCAGATAAGCCAGTTGTCCTGGTTTAACTGACCAGGACACCAGTAAAGCAAACAGGCAAGTGTCTGGATTAGATCTTAACTAAACTAGCTGAAACTTGGAATTTTCCCCAACTGGGAAACCAGGATTTAAACATGGATGCACACAATAATGTCCCAGGGTGTTTTCTACCACGTCCTCTGAATGTCGCATCAGCACTGAAACCTGTTTTTTATTTTTACAGCCATGAATGGACAACTGGTAATTACCAAGATCTCGTGCATTATTTCAGACATAAATAACTCTTTACATGCTTAAAAGGAAAAAACCTGATCTCAAGACATGAAAGAAGAAAAGCAAGACTTGAAAACTAGAAGGGCACCAACTCTATCTCCAAAGGTCTTCAGGTATTAATTACAAAAGTACCTATTATGAAAATCCCACTTAAAGCTACATGTTCCAAGCAGTATAAAGTTACCAATTGTAATTTGCTGTTTTAATCTGTTATGTATTGGCTGACATTTCATGCAATCATGTGACACCACAGTGGAAAATGTTTCCATGTTTCCCTTTCAAACAGCATTTTCATTTTATTTCAAAGGAGACATCACTGAATTAGAGAAAGTTTTACAAACTCTTCAGATAAAAAGATCATATTGCAGAAGTTATTATCTAAATAAGTAATGGTCTGAGCAATTTCAACCCCATCTCCTTCGTCCTACACCAGCAAATAGAGTTTATAGGTCTGGCTTTTTACCCCTCTGGAGGGCAATGTAGCAGTTACCCAAGACCAGACCAGAAGACAGAATGACACAACGATGTGACAGTGTCATTTGAATGATGAGCTATTTCTCCAACATAATCAAAGCCTCCATCTTTTCAGACACTGATTCCTGCAAAACTTAATTCTTCCTTCTGGAACCACAAAGGGGTCTGGAAGGGCTCTTTTCATCAGAGAAGACAGTGATAGGAAAAAGGGGAATGGTTTTAAACTGAGAGAGGGGAGATTTAGGTCAGATATTAGGAAGAAATTCTTCACTCTAAGGGTGGTGAGGAGCTGGAATGTGTTGCCCAGGGAGGCTGTTGATGCCCCATCCCTGGAGGTTTTTAAGGCCAGGTTGGACAAGGTTTGTGCAGCCTGGTCTAGTGGTTCCCTGCTCATGGCAGGGGGGTTGGAACTGGATGATCTTTGAGGTCCTTCCCAACCTTCATGATCCTAGTAATAGCCAAAGGAACCAATTCCCCAAGTTCTGAGTACAGTGGTGCCTGCTTGTGCCACAACTGGTATGTGGAAGTTGCAGAAAACTCCACCAAAAAAATAATCTTCCAAGATAAGGCTGCAACAATTTGGTGTCATAAAAAA